TGCTTGGGTCAACTGAATCTCTGGAACGTTGACTTGTGCCAAGTCAGCTGCCAAGGCATGTTTCGACAACTGTAATTGTGCTTCCTTGCAGATCAAGACATTGTCATGATGATACTGACCTCCTAGAGGAAGTGCCGTTTGAGATTGCCACAGGCCAGGCATGACCTCTCAGAGGAAGTGCCGTCTCAGATTGCCACAGGTCAGGCAGTTTGTGACGTGCTTGGGTCAACTGAATCTCTTTGAACGTTGACCTGTGCCAAGGCAGTGGCCAAGGCATGTTGTGTCAACTGTAATCCTGCTTCCTTGCAGACCCATGCAGATTAAGATATGCCCTGACGATCCAATCATGTACTATTAACATAAACTTGGTGCTAAATTAGAATGTAAACGGAGCATCGTCGACGGGAGGGGTGCATTGGAACAGGCTGGTGCACCCTTTGGTAGACATGAACGTACGTCCGTGCCCAGTTGAACATCAAATGAAATTTGTGTCCAATTGCGGAGTATGTAAATTGCATGAAATTTGTTTTGTTGAATTTTTGAACAAGCGGCATTTGTTCAACACCGCCAAGTTGGGTTGAATCAAAGGGTGTGACCCGACTGTCGGTTGGTCCGACAATTGAATCGTTCGAGCTGTGGCTTTGAGAGATGGTGCTATAGTTGTCTTTGGCGGGCCTGCTGGTTAATTACATTGAATTACAATCCTGTGCTAGAATCTGTATTTTATATAATGACATAGCGCAACTTTGGATTCATAGGGATGGTCATAATGATACTGACCCTTTAAACCGGGCCAGCGCCGTTTGAGATTGACACATGCCAGGCAGTTTGCACCGACCCCCAGCGACCCATGGCCTAGGGAGACCATACGGCCAGACCAACGATGCCATTGTTAGTAGTATAGATTCTTGTTGCTATGGTTCGCATCTTTTGGGGCCAAGATCTTCACTTCCAATCGATTCAGCACTACCGGAGGCTCCAATTCACTTGTGAGGTCCATCATTCGACATCGCTAAATGTGTGTTTTTTTTTCCCGAATGCGTAGCGAAGGGTTCTCGTTTAACTCTTGGGGGTCTGGGGGTAGAGCCTTGTTCGCGACCCGTTGTCTCTATGTTCGCAACCGTCCGCAACCGTTCGCAACCGTCCGCGGTAGAGCGCTAAGGCGCTGCCATTGGGGGAAGCTTTTGCAAGTGACTATTCATGGATGTGTCACGTGTCAGTTTGCGACGCTAGTCCATTGTGATTTGCGTGAAAATGACTTGTCGCGCAAGAAGCGTGATGCATTTCGCTGCACAGGCGCAGCGTTTTGTGAGATCCGCAGTTTGCTACGCAGTTCCATTGGGATTAGCGTTTGGAGAGTCGTGTTTTTGGGGTGTTGGATGTGGCCGTGCCATTGGGATTTGCGTTTCAGGGTGTGGCATCGAAGCTGTGTTTTCGTGACAAGTCTCAGCTGAAATGCCGATTTTGGTGGATGGGAGTGTGCTCAGAATGGGTCGAAATCATTCCAAACGTGTGGTGTGGTGCAAATTTTGTTGAAGCTCACATGAGATGACATTGTTACTTTTCGTGGCAGGCGCAGGACTTTGTGCGGGCTTTGAGGTGTGGAAGTGGGATTTTCGTGGCAGGCGCAGGGAATCGTGAGGTTGCGATGTGTGACGGAGGTGACATTTCGTGGCAGGCGCAGTACTTTGTGCGCGTTAGACGTGTGGACGCGGAAAGATTCGTGGCAGGCGCAGGGAATCGGGAGGTTGTGAGTTGTGGTAGAGGTGAATGTCGCTGTCACATTGGGATTGGCGTGTGGGCGGGTGTCGTTTGGAGGGGCTGGAATCGCGAAACTGCTTGGCAGGGCTGCGTGATGTGTGTGCTCCGATGGGTGTTTCCGCTGGACTTTTGGAGGAAGTCTTGTGCGAAACGTTCGTTTTGCAGACTTTGACATGTGAGTTTTTGAGGAAGTCTCGTACGGAAACGCTCGTTTTGGGGACTTGACATGTGACTTTTGGAGGAAGTCTCGTACGAAACGCTCGTTTTGGAGACTTGACGTGTGACTTTTGGAGGAAGTCTCGTACGAAACGCTCGTTTTGCAGCCTC